TGCTCATTACCCGCACCTATCAACTGACCGGTTCGGACAGTGGCTGGCGCCCGCGAATGGGAATAGAGAGTGAAATCGACGCCTCACTGCACTTTCTTCATTATAAACAATCTGACGCGCCTGAAGCTATCACGATGCGCTAAAGGCCGTGGGTTGGTAGGTCGCCAAATGACGGGATAACTCGCACCACGCAGTCAGCCTAGTGTTGTGTGTTTGTCTGAAGCAGCCGACTGGTAGTCTAGGGGTCAGGCTGCAACGGTTCCCCCTTAATCTGGCCTTTATGGCACTCCCACTCCGTGGGATCCGAGCCGGGCGTGGCGGCACGCCTATGGCGACTCCGGCCGCGCCAGCCACCTGCGCCTCCTCCCACCTTCGGTTTTCTTGACTGTCCTGACACGGTGCCCAGCTGGGGAGGAGGAGGAAGTGCGATAGATGCAGCGCAAGCCTACTATTACCATGAAAGAAATCACGCGCAAGCCACCTTGTCTTCTCTCACTCTTCTGTGGAGCACACGATGGACATTGCCGAAGCCGATGGTTGGACTGTCATTATGGTAAGGCACGGGAATAGGAGCCCCCCTAATACATTTGGCCTTGCACTAGTTTCCAGGGAGAGTAGGGTTGGGATTAAGTTTGGCGTTAGTGCTAGGGTTGAAGTTAGGACAGGAGAGTAGGAACCCTTCCTGGAATTAAGCTCCTGGCCACCTGCACTGCGGAGAGTCCCACTTCAGCGTCCTACCATTACTGCTATTATTATTAATATTCCTGCGAAATAGCCTACTCGCCTCAAAAAGTGACCAATGTCTCCGCCCCTCGTGTTTGCTACTGTTCTTATATGTGCAAGTTCTTCCTTATTTCAGCTTCCATCGTCGTTGTATTCGGGCAAATGAAGGCTAAGTCGTGTGGGCTTTCTGCCTGCTTCCTGAACTAACACTTACCTTCATGTCCTTCTATATTGGCCTTCCTCCACTACATTTCCGTAAACACGCATCCTAGGCCACTGTGATCTGAACAAAAACCAGCGGTACGCGTCCTTTTGATGTAGACTGCGCATTCTTCGTATTAAGCCAAGTGGATTTACGCCTCCACTACTTCTGCAAGCGAGTTTGACAACGTGACTGAGCCACAACTACTTGACAAACGTACACGTCCCAATATGGATTGAGCATCGCTCATGAATGGAAGTCCAAAGACGTCCGGCGCTCGTGTATTGACCATATGGTAAAAGTGTCCTTTACAGGGAGTGGAGATTCATTTTTAACCAGTTCACCTCTCAGAAACCGGCTTTAATTTTGAAAGAAATCCTTCCAAACCATGAAGTGGCTTTCTGTGTACCCACGCTTTCTGATGATAACATATCCTCTGGAAAGTTGTCGAAAACTTAAAGTATCCTGTTGCCTGCATCTGGCAACGTATGAAATGTATGTATGCGCTGGTCCTATTATGTGGCAACTATGGATTTGTGATGCATGAATAGACTGACTGGCACTTGCATGGGGCCGATCAGCGGAGATCGAGTAACACATCGGTGTGAAAGCCGCCCATTATCAGGCGCCACCGCTTTTCTATCAACTTCCGAGCGTCATGTCCCGACTTTTGCCTTGTAGAACATGCTCTAGGCTGGCAAGCTCTCACTTGATTGGCATGGTCCGGAGACACGCATGGTTTGTGTGGACCATTTGGCAAGACTTGCGGTCAGTAGACCGCCTTATCTATCCAAAATACAGGCTCTTCTGCCGACTTTATCCCGAACAAACAAGGTAGTGGTTCGAAGCGGCGAAGGAAACTCGAGATATGCATACAAATTTTGCAACAAACAAGCGTCTGGCTAAACCAACCGGATTCTATTTTATATGTTCTTCCACTCGAGGACATATACCTGGACCTCAATCCATGGTTGCCGAGTTTCGAATTCTGCCGTACATATCATCGTCTAGAGAAATTTCAACAGTATATGATCGAAACAAGAAAAGGTTGTCCTGATGTCGGCTAGATTTTTATCAACAAAAATGGGGAGGCGCAGTCCCATGAATAAAGTAAGCCCAAAGACCGAAGTGGCGCTCACGCTGAAACAAGTTGGCGATGAGAAGCTCGCAACCGCGCAGTCAATGGTTGACCACTATGCCTTCAGAGTGTGAGTCTTATCAAAAGGTCTACCCGCCTCAACGGGATTTTTGTACTCCAAGGGGAGTTTGTTGAAAAAAACAGCTGTTCCTCCTGACAGCAAGATCCATCTCCTCTTTCTTACCCACTGTGACCAACTTAAGCACCTTGCACGTCGACGGAATTCCCTGCAATATCGACACGCCAAGCATACCCCACACATCCTACAACTCTCCCGTCTCCAGCGCTACCAAATCACCCCTGCCACCGCGGTGAACACTAGCAGCATCATCACCGCGACCGACCCATCAGTGCCCAAACTACCCAGTCCACACTGCGCCGCATATGCGTATCGCGCATCGATATTTTAGGTCACTTGCGAGTCCATAGCACAGACTGGCGAACCAGTGCCTGGAACAGTAACACGCGTCCATCGCACCGGCTTCAACTGCCCACGCACGTTTAGCCGTCGCGCGGGCCTGCTTGGCCACATGCGCATCCATTAAAACCTGCGATAGAACACCGCCGGCCGAACTCCACCAGCACATACCTGCTGACCAGTACATACAGCAAACATGAGCCCATCCTCCTTCACCCATCACGAAGTCTGCACCTTTCGAGCAAGTGGGAATCGTGCTACTTGGCTCCTCTGTTATTCTAGCACATCTGAGATCCGTGCGACCCACTCCCTTCGTATGAAATCTTGGTGTTGAGTGAGAAGGCCAAGTCGTGTGTGTGGCACGTACAGACGGGCTGTTTCTGGCTCTGTCAGTCACTGCGTCTAATCCCTGCATCAGACAAGAGAGCGGCTCAGACAGAGGACTGGCGTCTGGGAGAGGGAAGAGCGAATGAAATCGACCCTCTCAGCGCATATTCCTCACTATAAACAAGCTGACGCGTTTTTAAACTACCACAGTGCGCTAAAAGTCGTGGCTTGGAGGCCGTCAACTGACGCTCCAAACCAGACCTCAAAGTGTGTTTGTGCGGAGTGGCGAACCCAGACAGACTGCAATGGCTCTCTCTCTCTCTTAATGTGGCCATTATGGCTATTCCACTCAGTTGGGATCTGAGCCGCCCCCTTGCTGTGTGAAATACTGATTCTTTGTGTGTGAACTAGGGGGTGTGATGGCAGGTCTATGAGCAGGTTCACACCGTGCTAGGAACCTACGCCCGATTCCGTTTCCGGTCTTCTTGACATTTTCGGGGAGCCCGACTCAGGTGGGTAAGAGAGGAGAGATTGTGGTAGATGCTGAACATGTTACCGTCCCTGTGCCTATCCTGCTTTGGTCACGACTATCGAACTGCCATTCAGGAATTTGTCAATAGAAGGGGCAATTTGCGTTACTGGATGCGAGCGGAAAAAGGCAACTCCCAGGAAGCGTGTGCTTATTACTCTGTTTTTTTCGAAAGTAAACGAAGCAACGTGCGAAATCCTCGCAAGAGTGTAAGCACACTGCGGTGAGGTGGAAGGCAAAATGGTTTAGCTCAAATTCCTTCGACAGGTCGGCGAACACCCACACAACTTTTCCGGATGAAACAGGCAACTCAGAACAAACCGGTAATTTGGCGAAAAAGAATACAAAATCAAGGGACCCTTCTATGAGATGAATTGAAGCAAGCGGTATATCACTTCTGATGAAATAAATGTTAATCCCACTACGCATGAGACTGGTAGGTGGCTGCAAAATGCTAAAGTAGTGGAGACGATGGACCCCTGAATTGAGCATTACTAAGATCTGAAGATCACTGGGTCGAGAGAACAATCACAATATCAGGGAAACATCAGAGGCCTGACATGCAAGCACGGCACCCCTTGAATCATTGCGTGACCCAAATCCTACGGACACAACGCAACCGGTGGGACATTACAAGTCAAGACAGACTGCACGCAAACGAGGATAGCAACCTCAACGCGGAAATGAGGCGGCCACTAGCGCTGATTCAAAGTCAAGAGATGACTGTATTACGGAGACCGGCCACTATCAACATCCCCTTCCCTTAAATTTGTCACGACTGAAGCGCCAGATGAGGCTGAACAGTTTCTGAAATAACCTCACCCTTCCTGTGGTCACGGAGGCAGGACAAATGGATCCTTTGTCAGCAGGTTTCAACAGCGCTGCTCAGTACTCCGAATCGCGACATCGACACATTCCAAAGATGGAGATTTTTTGCCTCTGAAACGGGAATAATAAACACATGGTCCATGAGGCTGGTTAGTTTTCTCAAGAATCTGTTCATCCCCAATGCGCCCAATCAAAGGCAACTAATCGAAGAAGCGCGGACCTGTGGAGGGCATTCAAGGGATCGCGTTGTCGAGTCATGTGTTGGTGATTGAGTCGGAGGGGGTGGTGGGGAGTCAAGAGACCTGAGGTCGACAGTGGGTTGTGCTGACTTATTAGTCCTAAGCCAACGCTAGGACGAACAGCTTCTTAGAGCCGCAGCTGCCGTCAAAGGACGCAAAATGGGCCCCGCTGGAAAGGTGACCTACAAATAACGCGCCTGGAGTACAGCTGAGGAAAACGTAAAATCGGTTTGACGGACGACCTTAGCAGCGAACAGCGACGCATACAGCACTTGCTAGCGTAACGGCTTGTGTTGCAATAGTGTCCACAAACAAGGCTTTTGATTGAAAAGCGAATTCCAAATAGTGCCAGATAAATTGACTTTTTGGCAGATTCTCTAGTACGCAGACAAATCAAACTCAACTCTCCGTACGCAAGCGCGCAAAGGAAGTCAGAAAGATATGACAAATAAAAGTATCAAAAGGGGTCCTAATTGTAGACAAAATAACAAGTTCTCGTGGGCCCTGTGAAGTACGTCGCAGTGGCAGAGAAGCTGCATGATACGCATGGAGGGTATCCGAAGAGGACGGGCACTAGAACAGTAGGGGGCTTATCATCAATTGACCTTCTCGTGAAAATAACATGGTCCTCGGGGTGGAATCAGAATACGCGAAATATGACGGGGGAGAAGATGACACTTCAGAAATTGAAAGAGGCCCCGAAATGGGTTGGAGAATTCAGGGGGAACAGAGCCCCGGGCCTCTGACTCAAAGAATGTGAAGAGGGGGAACCAGATCCTGGCTCTCTGCTTGTCCTGGCGCATGAGAAAATGATTGTTTGCCAACCAGTGATAGTACAAGAAGAGACGTGAGGTTATGTACACCGCAACGAACACGTCGATGGAGTAGTGTTCATGCGCGGCCAAAATGAAGAAGATACCAAATACGTTGAGAATCCAAGTAAAGGTGTGAAGTTGGTGGAAGCTCGGGGGTGTGTACTCAGTTATGAAGAAGTTGAGCATCGTAATTACCGCGGTATGTCCACTGAAGATGTAGTCCCCACAAGTACGAACGCCACGCAAGGTCATACCAAGACCCAGAAAGATCTCCGCAGCGCGAAGCAAACGCTCGCTGAAGGAGTGGAAGACAAAGGGCCTACATTCGGTAGACAAGTGGCGACCCGGCGCACTGAGCGAGGTGATAAACATAGTGACACTGCGCAGCAGAAAAACTGTCCCCAGGAGCGAACAGTAGCGCCGCAGGAGGATGAAGCGATGTCGATGAAAAACCAGAACAACAAGCCATACGGCCAGCAGGGCAACAGCCACAACCTCAGCGGCCTCAAAGGCCCAGGGAATGTAAGGCAGGTTGTCGAGTAAGATGTCTGGCAGAGGGGGGTACTTGGACATATCGGGAAGACGTTCGTGCACGAGGACCATAACAAAAGAGGTGAAACAGAGGGCAAGCATGGCGTACAGAGCGCTCACAGCGACCTTCCAAAGTTTGGGATTGGTCTCGCAGACAGAATATGACTCGCTTTGAGAAGGTAGGCGTCGGTGGACAGCGGAGCCTCTGGATAGGCCAACCGAATTGAAGGTCTGGTCAGATTTTGTCCTGATCCTGGATTCTGTAGAGAAAGGGCGGGCCACTGTCGATACCGTCAGGTCGTTGGTAGGCCCGATTAAAGAGGGGAGTTCGTCAGGGGGTAGAGACCTCTGGTGTTTCACGTAGCCGCGCCATTGATCAATGAGAAATAGAATGCGCTTGCGTAAGCCGATCTGATCGATACCCATTTCGCGGAGATCATTCTCGTTGAGCAGACCGAAACTCTCGCCGTCTATTGCGTGGCGCTTAAAGAGGTCGCAAAGGGTTTCTTGGAAGCCGCACCTCCTCAACCAGAGCTCGAAGGAAACTGGCGAGGGTTCTCCCAGACCATCGGGCAAGGAGGAATGATCCATATCCCCTAATATAGCACATATCAGACAGTACTTAGCGATGGGCCAGAAATGTGGACAGTCTTTGGAGTAAGGCCAAAGGGGAGTAATGAAGTTTACTACCAGGTAAGTGTTAGAAAAAGTCTTCAGTTAACGGTCAGCGGCGTATAAAAAAACAGGCTTTGAAAGAAAATACGTAAAAACAGGAACAAAAGCCCAACTTGGGCAGGCTGACTGGAAAGCGAATTCGGGTGTAGTACCCATGGCACAATACTAACATATATTTTCGATTTCTTGCCTCCACTAAAGTGATAGCCACCAATGAGTCAGTCCTAATTATTTTCTTAAGCAATAGGTTCTGGATAAAGCATGATGATCGAAACTGGTAGTCCGCTCATCGTAACCAAAAATGACCATCTCCACCACATTTTGCTTGCGGTTTGAGGGACTGCTGGAGAGCAGGATTAGCGGGCTTGGAGTAAAGAGAAACCACCCGTGTTGCGGCATACAAAGGCGCGACATACGTCAAGTCAGCCACTGCACTCAGCCCCATCGTAGCCCTGCTAGTTGACCAGAACGAAACTGGGATGGGGGAGCGGTCTCAATGTGGCGCAAGTCTTACCACACTGTACTTCTGTGCGTTCGTCATCCTCACCATCTGCGTCACATCTGACACCAAGCCCGTTTAACTCCTACACTCCCTTAGGAGGTCTCGCCAAGAGAGAGACATTCAATCCCGTAAGTGGCTCACACCAATTTCGTTCGTCTTCCCACAACACCAGAAGCGAGCAACAGCCGAATTCGTAGCCATCTAGAATGTCTAAACAGTCCTATTTAGGGACACTGCCTGTCGTCAGGCACAGCTGATCGTGACAACTAGACGTGACGTACACAGTCAAAACAGAATGTAGAAAAATAACGCTTGTCCCCATCCCCTACCAAGCAGAATGGCCCGTCCACTCTGGTAGCCCGATACTTTCGGTATCTTCTGGATAACCTAGTAGCCAACAAACCAGAAAGAACTGGCGGGAAACGACGTGGGCATTACCGTTTTCAGGCAGACTAGCTTCTCTGGACACGGACGTTGGAATGAATTAGTAGCGGGATGCACATCCCTTGGGAGTGTCAGTTCTGAGGAAGAACAACGTCAAAAGGCTCCCCGCTATATCGTAAGTCGCCAGCAACAGCCTTGTCTCAGTGAGGCGCCGTCAGTTACAGGCCTTGACGCATTGAAAAAAAAAATGATACGGACATCTGCGCACATTCGTCGTGTATGAGGTGGAAGCGGACAAGCTGGTGATCCTTGGAGACTCTAGTGCGCGAGTTGCCACCGACCACGCTTCCCGGTAGGGAGTTGGTTGTCACAAAATAAAATTCTGCAACAGCAGGGGTTTTCTACCACCGAAAACCCACTCATAGGAACTCATTCAACATCACAAAGGACCACTTGCATGCGGTTACGTCAAAACTTACTTGGCATACCGCATAAAAAACCACCGTTTGAATTATTCAAGATTATTTGCCGCAATGGAAAAATTCATACGTGGCTAACAGGCAGCGCACATTGGTCAACACAAGTGGTTAGGGCTGGCAATGCTTGGTGAGTTCATATAAGACTCCAAATGTCCCCAAAATTTGTAACGCTTTCTTAGACAACAAAACGCCCTAGAGTAACTGTTCAGTGATGATTTGCTCAGAACTAACTCGATTCTGCGAGGCGCAGATGCAGAGTGCTCGCTACGTGATGGTCATGCAAGACGTTCATTTTACTGATAATTTCGGCAGGCGTAACTTTTACTTCCCGCACAAGGTGGCTATAGATGGTTAAATTTTTGTGAACAGTGGAATAAGAACTTGTAATATACGCCTTCGCGTACATGACTGTCAGGACGTAAAGTAGAAAATGCTTCGTGATCTGACCTATGCAGAAGGTACCAAATGTCCTGCAGGATGAGAATCGGCTCTTATTACGGCATGGGAAGGGGTGGATGGGCACTGGTTTACCATAATTCTTCTCTTCCACTTTCAGGAACATCAGTCATATGCTTTGAACTAGACGAAGTGCGCCAATACACTTTCTCTTAAATAACTATTGTGCACACGTTGTTCCATGTCTAGATGCCAAATCATGCTTTTTTAAAGCAAAGCACTGCTTAACGGGGCCATTTTGCACAAATCTACTCTTTTCTATTGATATCAGGCTTTTGCTAAGCTTTAGAATTTCGACGAATATCGTCTGTTTGAACACTGGTCTGCCGACGGCAGACATTCGTACCAGGCAATCCTGGCGGTGATTAACCTCCCACGCCGAGGCGTGTATGATAACAATAGTAATGCACTGGTGGAAATACTCATGAAAAGCAGACGAGTATGTATGTCAGGGCTATGCCAGTTCGATATCACTTTCATTTGGGATAAAAATAAGCCCTGAGTCGGCGCCGATCATATCGACTTCAATTAGGATATTCTGGTAATTCTATGACAGAAACTAATCTGTTGCCGGTACTTCAGGGGCGTCGGACAGTCAATTATAATTTACTATCCATAATTGAGGGTAGAATGTTATTACCGGCAAAGACAAAGGAGACTGAAATGGCCATTTCTGGCTTATCAGCCGTCGTCAGCCAGTCATACCCAGCCCCGAAGTGTGGAGAACCTGAGGCTCGAACTCGCGACCTGTTAGTTAGAAGTCCGGCGCCTCTAACCACTGGGCCACGGGCCCGTTGCCTGTCGGTTTCGATCGGGAATATACAATGGAAGATGGGTGCTCACCGATCGTTCTTACGGAACTCACTCGTTCCGTTGTGCTTTGCGGGCTCTCTCTTGAGCCCAACCAGCAACCGCACAGCGGCGCATGACACAGGTAGAATGTTATTACTGACAACGACAAGAGAGACTGGAATGGCCATTTCTGGCTTATTCGACGTCGTCAACCAGTCATACCCAAACCCGAGGTGTGGAACACCTGAGGCTCGAACCGACCGAAACCGACAGGACAACGGGCCCTTGGCCCAGTGTTTAGAGGCGTCGGACTTCTAACTAACAGGTCGCGAGTCCGAGCTTCAGGTATTCCACACCTCGGGGGTGGGTATGACTGGCTGACGACGGCTAATAGGTCAGAAATGGCCATTCCAGTCTCCCTTGACTTTGTCTGTAATAACATTCTGCCTGTATTATGCGCCGCTGTGTGGCTGCTGATTGGGCTGGAGAGAGGGCCCGTAAAACACAACGGAACGAGTGAGTTCCGTAGAAACGATCGGTGAGCGTTTATCTACCATAATTGAGGGTATATACCCTCCCGCGCGGGAGGACATCTGTCGAATTGCAGTAGGCCTCCGGGTAAAATATGTTTTAAAATGAATTTCCAAACAATTTCATTGTCTACAACCGTTTGGCAACGAAAGGAGAACATATTATAGACGAGTATAACAAGACATCTAATATTAAATAGCTCGCAGCACAAACCCCAAAAACACGAATAACAACTAATTGCACTACATTAGAGAGGTCAAGGACAACGGGATTATGTTACCTTCCGTCGTGTAGGTTCAATCGTAGTCGCCAGAATCTGAATGTTTCTCGGTACTTAAGGTCTGATTGTCGGGATGATTAGAATCTACATGGAGTTTGTCAGCCACAGTCTTGTGAGATGTCGTAACAACATCCATCATACACGCAGTCAGACAATTAATAACGTTGAGACAGGAGCGCGCAGATTTATTAATCGACTCGGGCACGAAAAAAGGGGCATATGATTAAGTGGCGATGACGTAATTCCCATAATACCTCCTCCCAACGGGTTATCTGGCCCATAGGGTCCTTAGTAGACCACAGCCACTGTCCGTAATGCGAAACATTGGCCTTGCAGAAAGTGCTGAAAACGTTGAACAAACACGACGATAGCAGATACCACATGGCGAAGACAGCAATAATTGCATCGCGTTTTCGTGAGCGTTTCGCTGGCAAAACAGAGAAAGTGTTGCAAACCGCATGCAGCTGTTTGGGAAAAGACTGTGTCAATTGCAAAGCTACTGGCATCAGTATCGATGATGGAAGGCGAAACGTCGGTTGATGTGATGGTGTAACGCCCCACGACCTCGATAGGGCTGTTTAAATGAGGAAACACTTTTTGGCGCGCGGACATAGGATGGAGATGGCATAACCGCGTGCTGGTGAAGATGGCCGGTGTCCCTTCCTCTCACTTCCGCCGATCCCTTTTCCCGCAACGTACCGTGACCCTCGTATCGTTCTCCCTCTCTCTACCTGGGCACCTCCCTCGCCTCCTCCCTGCAGTTGTCCACAGCGCTGCGTTCCCCACCGTTATCTAGCTAGAATGTCGGTATCGTCCTTCCATCCAGACAGGTTACTCCCCAGTTGTAACTCGTTCTGCTTGTACTATTAACTGTTATTATACGCCTTTCCATTTGCCATCTTTGTCCATTATACCTTCTCGCCCACTTGACGTTTTTTCATCCTTTATGTGCGGATGATTATCATGACTTGCTAACGACCCTATTCAGATCAATGTTAGCCAGGATCTCTTTCCAGTGCTTCTTTACTAGGGTGTGTGCTACCCTTGACGTCCTCGGCCGCTACAATGGGAAAAACTGAGGAGTGCTGCTTTTAAGGTATGAAATACCTCGTCACCCCCTGGTCTCCGTCTAAGGGTACTACCTTTCTCTATCCGTTTATGTGGGGGTGCGGCGATATTTGCACAACTGCGAATAGTTCTTCTGTAATACGACGTAAGGCCGTTGAAAATCCTAACTAGGGCTTGGTTTAAACAATAGACCATCTTTGAATTTGTTGGGCCCTTTTGGAAAGTGTTACAATCTGCCTGGATAGTATGCGATAGCTTGCGAATGTGACACCTGATCCTAAAAAGACGCATGTAGTGGTGTCTCGGGTAGAACTCGCATCCAGGGGGCCGTGATGGGTACTTTACAGTTGTGTTCCTCCGTAGTACGCCCGGAGATGATTGTATCATCACAGTGGATGTGGCAGGCATGTGGGAAAAGATGACG